CGTAATTGACAGCGTATAGCCATCTTCTTCTAGCCAGACGTAAAATAACCAGACTGGCGACTGGCAGCAGCGTCAAAAATCTCACGTTAGTTCATTTCTGGTATTGAGGTTGTTAATCCGCCTACAAAGCGTGGCGATTGAAGTAAATCCTCCAGACAACGGAAGACTCACGACGGCAGTTGACGCCGAACTAACTGAGTGAGGCAGTCTCTATTTAGTAAAATATAAATTCATACAAGGCTGCTAAAACACCAAAAATTTTGACATTTTGCAGCCGAAAAAAATTAATTAAAACTAAACAAAAAAACAACGCAGACTTGACGACTTCCAGCCTCCCGAACAAGCCGGTTTGCTTTGCTTATGTGGACTATGAGAAAGCCTTTGATTCCGTCGAAATTTGGGCGGTGTTGCAGTCCCTTTAGCGGTGCTAAATTGACTGTCGGTATATCGAGGTGCTGAAGTGTTTGTACAGTAGAGCTACGATGGCTATCAACACAAATGTACAAAACCTATCCAACTGCAAAGAGGTGTAAGACAGGGTGACTTTATATCCCCGAAACTCTTCACCGTTGCATTGGAAGACGTTTTCAAGCTGCTGGACTGAAAAGGATGCGGTATTAACATCAATGGCGAGTACATCACTCACCTTCGATTTGCCGATGATATAGTCCATATGGCAAAATCGCTGGAGGACCTAAGCACTATGCTCAATGACCTCAATAGTGTCTCTCAACGAATAGGTCTTAAGATGAAGATGGACAAAACAAAAATCATGTTTAACATCTATGTCACACCTATGACGGTAGTTGTTGGGAGCACTAAGCCCGAAGTTGTTGACGAGTATGTTTGGTATGTACCTGGGACAAATAGTCCGACTAGGTAAGTCCAACTTCGACCGAGAGATCAATCGACGGATTCAACTCGGCCGGGCAGCGTTCGGGAAACTACGACACATCTTCTCGTTAGACATACCTCAAAACCGGAAAACAAAATTTTACAACCAGTGCCTGTTGCCAGTGATGACTTACGGATCTGAGACGTGGTCCTTCACTGCTGGCCGTATGAGGAAGCTCAAGATCGCTCAGCGAGCTATGGCGATATCCACAGTAGAACCAGAGTAACCGACATAGCCCAAATTAGTAAGCTGTAGTGGCAGTGGGCCGGCCATATAGCTAGAAGAACCGACAACCGATGGGGAAGAAAAGTTCTCGAGTGGCAGCCTCGTACCGGTAGAGGAAGTGTAGGGCGACCCCCCACTTGATGGAATGACGACCTGGTAAGACATGCAGAAAGTCGATGGATGCAGGTGGCTCAGGACCGTCCTTTGTGGCATTCCTTGGGGGAGGCCTATGTTCAGCAGTGGACTTATGAAAGGCTGTAATGATGATGATGATGAAACAAAACAAAACTAAACTGGAATTATTTCGTAATAATTCTATGTATTTAAGTATAAATATTACATCCGCTTCCGTTGTCTGGAGGATTTACTTTAATCGTCAATAGCAATAGACTTTTACGGGTTCATGATGAAGAAGAAGAAGATAAATTTATTGCAACTGTGCTCAGTGGCTCTTTAATCGATTGAACGGGATGTAATTGATATTTTTACCTCGTAGAGGCGATGTAAGAATATACACTACCTCATATCTTCCCGTGGGTGTCGTAAGAGGCGACAGGGGGAACAAATTAGGAGATGGACAGCAGCGTCTTCCTAATAACGATTAAAAATAAAAAACTGCGGTTGCCAACCCCCTTTCCAAGCGTGGCAAGTATAGCAAATATCCATCCTATGAGGTAACTAGTATCTTACGGTAACGGCAATGGTAATCGATATTTATATTAGGGATGTAACGTGAAATATTATATTTCATTTCCCCTAAATGCCTTACCTTCAAACGATGCACCCTGCTCTGTGATGGACAATATTTTGGTGATCGAATGATGACGGAAAGTTAAACAAAATCACCTATCCTTTAAATAGACATTTTTTTGGCTCAATCCGGGATTAGAATTCGAACTTCATGACCAGCAGTAGCACTAACGACCACTAGGCCAACGGGACAGTCGTTGACTGTCTTTTATAGTACAATGGCTATAAAACTATCATTATCATTATGACAGCTCTTTGAAATAAAACTATCCTTGTCATTATGACAGCTCATTGAAATAAAACTCATTATCATTATGACAGCTCATTGAAATAAAACTCATTATCATTATGACAACTCATTGAAATAAAACTATCATTATCATTATGACAGCTCATTGAAATAAAACTATCAGTGTCCTTATGACAGCTCATTGAAAGTCCTGTCACTGTTATTATGGAGTTTCCCAATGTATGGCCTTGACTCGTATGATTCGGTTTCCTTGATGTCAATTATAACGTTGTTAACGTTGTGATCATGGAAGTAGTTGTAATGGCGCCAATATTAGTAAGTGCTAATTGTAAGTGTAATTGTATTATGTCTGTTACCTCATGACTTTTTCTGGGTGAACCGATTTCGATGATTCTTTTGTCCTTTGAAAGCTAGTGCTTCTCACGTGGTCCCACATAAATTTAGTCCAGGTCTGACTAGTACTTTTGAGTTATTCTTAATAATTTATATTGAAGTCGTACAAAATAGGTTTTTTTATAGTAGGGGGGGGGGGCAAACGAGCATACGGCTCACCTGATGATAAGTGACTACCGCCGCCCATGAACAACTGCAACATCAGGGGAATTGCAGGTACGTTGCCGACCTTTTAAAAAGGAGTAGGCTCTTTTCTTGAAGGTCCCTAACTCGTATCAGTCCGGAAAAACCGCTGGTGGTAAACTATTCCACAAGGGAGTTGTGCGAGGAAGAAAACATTTTCTAAATCGCACGGTGGTGGACCGCCAATCATTCAGATGGTAAGGATGGTATTGCGATGGTACCTACATAAATTATATTTGTTATTGTTATCGTTACTGCTATTCAAAAGTCCATTGCTGGAGATAGGCCTCCCCAATAGATTGCCTCACACTGGGGATATTTGCCATATTTACCATGCTTAGCGGGTGGATTGGCAATCGCAGTTTTTTTTTTAAAGAATAAGTGTGACAAACGAGCACACAGTCCACCTGATGGTAAGTGGTTGCTGCGGCCCATAGACATCTACATCTATCCTCTATTACAAATCAAAATTTAGATGCGTTGTCACCTGTGAGGACTAAGAAGGAATGCCTCATTTCCAGTAAAAAGGGCCTCCGGCCACCTGCACTCACCAAGCGAAACGCAGAGGTAAACCTCTACTTCACGCTGGTTTTCTGTGAGGTCGTGGTACCACCCCGGTTCGAGCCGGCCCATCCGTGCGACACTGCCCTGCACTGCCGCGTGGCTCTACCACTGTTTTTGTAGCTATAAGGATGATGCTCCTGCCCATTACCGTGTAGTGGCGGTGTAAGGATATCCACTACCCCATATCATCCCGTTGGTGTCTTAAGAGGCGTCTTTATGGTAACAACTCAATTATAAAATTATTATTCTTTAAATGAGATTTATATAAATTGGATGATAGACAATGTAAAATAACATTGCGTTATTAGCACAATTTAACGTGTTTTCAAGTATTAAAATCTCATTATATTTATTTAACAAAGGCGATGGATGATGCACCTCCGAGGAACTTATATGAATATTAGAGAGTAGGAAATACGTAATGCAAATCTTTTTTTTATATTATAAGTAGCTTCAGTGTGGTTGCTTTTTCAAAATATGCAATGATAATAATTATGTTAAAATTATCAGTCTGAAGATCAGGATTTACCAGCCATTTTCTTAAGATTTTTCTTGAAAAACTTGTGTATAATTATTTATGAAAGTTATAATATACTCTTTAGGTTTTTTATAGAATAAGGGTGACTAATGAGCACATGTTCCACCTGATGGTAAGTGGATGCTGTGGCCCATAGACACCTATATTTAGATCCTTTTGAAAGGGCATGACATCTTAGTCCTCACGGGTGACAACACATCTGCATTTTGATTCGTCATTGAAGATAGATGTAGATGTCTATGAGCCACAGCAACCACTTACCATTAGGTGGACTGTGTGCCCATTTGTCACCCTTATTCTATAAAAAAAAGAGCTTCCGAAGGTGAAAAGAGCGCGCGAGGTCTTTGAGAAGAAGATAAGGCAAATGTTTTATATACCAAAGAACATAATAATATATAGAACGAACAACCTAACCCAATTATTCAAAAACTGATAGACCGGTATACTATAGTTCAGCATGAGAACCATTTAATTTTCTAGAATGTTTAACTTCTAAGATATAATTAACTTAGGCTACTTTATATTTTTCTAAAATATAAGTAGCCTAAGTTACTCCTTATAACATGAGCTATCTACCAGTGAAAGTCCCGTCAAAATCGGTCCAGCCGTTTTTGGAGATTAGCCGGAACAAATAGACAGACAGATAGACAGTCAGACAGAGAAAAATGTTAAAAATTGTGTTTTCGTTATTAGTATCGTATATACTTTCATATGCAATTAGTAAAAATCTGTTTTTTGACATTACAAACAGACACTTCAATTTAATTTATTTGTATAGATATAGCGGCAACAGAAATACACATTCTGTGAAAATTTTAACTGTCTACCTATGACGGATCATGAGAGATGCAGCCCGCTGACAGATAGACGGACGAACAGCGGAGGCTTAGTAATAGGGTCCCGTTAGTTACCCTTCGGGTACGGAACCCTAAAAAGAAGATGAAGGCTATGCTGTAACTCATATACATGTACTCCCGGTCTATATTAAGAATTAAAATGTCGATGAGTTGTCAACTCTGAGAATTAAGTGTGCCTCTTTACTAGTCAGAATGTCTTAGGTAGTCCTTATCACTCACCAAGTGAAACACAGCATTATTGGCATATTTTACGCTGAAATTCTGTACAAGCATGATCTTTCTCTAATCGAGCCGAATCATAATTCAGCTGCATTCTTCTTCTACATAAATTTTATTTCTTTGCAGGAATGCGCTGAGACGAAGAAAAGCTACACATATATACAACTACAGAAAAATATGGCAGTCTTCGCTACCTCGTTGCTAAAGAAACTGGGTCTGCAGCCAGGCGATGTTGTGGCATCCATGTTGCCGAATTGCCCACAGTTTCCTGTCATTGCCTTCGGTACACTGCAGGCTGGATGTGTGCTGACGCCCGTAAACCCTATTTATAAAGAACGTAAGATCACTTTTGAGTAACTTATACGTGTAATAGTAATATAGACGATGGGCAGTAGCTTCGAAGATGCGAGACGTCTGCTACTGTCATCGTAAATTCTCTTGTCAAGCGTGATTATTAAAGTAAATCCCTCATCGCGGAAGATGCACTCGACTTCCAGTGGACTTTTACGAGCAAATGAATAAGAAAATGAATCCTGGACCAATTAGATCATAACTGTAATCAGAGTCATCAAATAACTTTGCAGCGTATATTCAATGTAAAAGTATTTCATCGAAAAAATGTATCACTTCTCATAAAAATAAAAATATGAACCTAGCGAATTTTGGTTAAGTATTTGATGCAGCTCTTGAAAACTACACCAAGAAATATGATAGAATTTACATATTATACGACTACCTAAGAAATCTAAAAATGTATGTGGTCATTGACTATTAGTGTTTTGATTGCAAATAATGCATCGGACTCAAATAAATTTTAAAACAGCTAAGCGTCAGTTATTTGTACTTGGAGTGGTTTAAGAATAACCACAGCATCTTTGTAAAAATCCCTATATAATTATTAGTCGATATAATAATATGCTTAAATATAAGCAAATTGCACAAACAAAACTACAATATGTTTACAATTATAAGGCCACATTACTAAAAAAACCTGTCCTTTAAAAGTAGAGCTTAATTGAAATTTAATGTAATTGATACATATAATACATCATTGTAATTAAATGACAATTATGGGAGGGAAATAAGTATGGAATGTTAAACATTATTATTTTATTATTTTTCTCTCTTATTATTTGTATTATACTGTCGCATTAATTACTTTTTCTTATTATGTCGTATCATATCATCATCCCAGCCTATCAAAAGTCAATTCTCCAGTCTAATCAAAACACTAAAAATAATAAAATAATTTGATATTTCTATTGTATTCTTTGTATTTCTTTGAATTAGGCTATTTTATCTGAAAATATTTTTTGCTTTCTTTTATAGGATAGGGTGACAAAAGAGCACACAGTCCACCTGATAGTAAGTAAGTGGTTGCTGTGGTCCATAGACATCTACATCTATCCTCGTTTGCGAATCAAAATCCAGATGCGTTGTCACCCGTGAGGACTAAGATGGAATGCCATTTTTCCAGTAAAAAGGGTCTCCGGTCCACTCACCATACGAAGCACAGCAGTGTTAAACTGCTAATTTACGCTGGTATTCTGTGAGAGCGTGGTCCTTCCCCGGTCGAGCCGACCCATTCGTGCTACAACTATACTACTAATATAGCTGCAGCATGGCTCTACCACGTGTACATATTGAATATTGCATTGTTTATAGAAGTAAAATTGACACAAACACGCAATTCCACTGATTGTAAGTGGATGTTGTATCACTTGACATTTACATCCAGCCACGATCATGAATCAAAACGACGACTAAGGTTAAATGCCTTGTTACTAGTATAATTATAAAATTTAACAAAAATCAAAATCCGACTTCAAATTTCTAAAAAAAAATGTTATTTATTTCCTACCCTTTGGGGTGAGATTTTTTCTCCAAATTTATATGCATGAAGTATAAGGCTTGAAGTATAGACTATTTATATCGCGTAACATACAAACAAAAAACGCACATTCAAATTGAGAACTTTCTCCTGCTTGTAGTCGGTTAAAAAAGGATCTTCAACTGTGCTCATCAAACGCCATACAAAACATAGCAGCATTATACTGCTATTTCTTGTTGGTATTCCCCAAGCGTGGTATTTCCCTGTTCAAGCCGACCCATTCGTGTTAGAGCCATTATATGGTACATGGTGACTCTGTTGTGTTTCTAGGTGGTAGAACCCCATTTACGCCTAGGAGTCTGTCTGGTAGGTAGCAACACCGTCTTACCTGTTTCTGCTGCCATACAACAACAGTACTGCATTGCTGTGTTCCGATTTAAAATGTTTAGGAGCCAGTTTCATCACAGGTGAAAGTCCTCAGATTTGACAACGCACCTGTAACCTTCTTTGTTTGAAGTCGTTTGCAGATGGCTATGGACTTCAGTAGCCACTTAAAATCAGGTGGACTGTATAATTAAATCATTTTTTTTTAATTTGATGTCATTATAAAATAAGTGTAGGCACCTATCCTAAATAAAGTTGAACGCGAGTATTTAAAATTACAAATATGTGTTTCTGTATTTAAAAATGCTAATTGTTTCCCAACAATCCCACAGGTTTTGAATTATCCAAAAGTATCGATTTAAAAATCACGTGCTACAAATTTGTTTTGTATTTTTGTAACTAATACACCTTGAAGATGACGTGTTGACCTCGGCCTCGACAGCGATATTTATTTAAGAAGCATTTGCAAATTACGCCTTTACCTCACATAATTTTATACATTATGTCGTGTCACAAAGAATAATCAAGGCTAGAAAACAGTAGTTTTTGGTAGCATTGACCTCTTGATCAACTCTCAAGAGCGTCTACACTAAAACTCATAATATTTATTAATCAAATATCTAAAGAAAATTAATGGATGCGGTGTACCGGATATTAACGTGATATTTATGAATACATATTTAAATAAATTTGGCTCCTAAGATAATCCATTGTAGCATATATTGAAATATAGATATTTTCTCACAAAATTGTCGAATAATTAATTATATTAAAAATAATTATATTTATCGTCGATATTTTTAATCTCGATATTCGATATTTATTTAAGATTATCGAATTTGTATCAATTTCGACATATTTTAAAATGTCATACATACTTATTTTATAATTGATTAGACAAACCACAAAAGCATTCATGTGTTATTTTTTATCGTCGTCAAAACGTCCAGCAATAAAAATTTGGCCGTCAGCCTCATGCAAAACATAATAATATCGATATTTATTACGCGATAACTATTGATACTCTACGATACTGTTTAAAAATATCGATACGATAAATATTGATTTATGATTATTTTTTTCATTTGACTATCCCTAGTGGAAATGCCAGAAAGATCTCATGGATTAGATAGTAGGCATCGTATTTACCTGAAATAAAATATCCAGACCATGGACAGCGACTTGCCTGACAAACATGACGATAAAATTTTACCTACAACAATCTATCTACTACACACTATCAACAAACTATCAAGTGCAAGTGACCTTTTACGACTTGATCAAGAAAAGTGTGTGTCAATCTCACTTGTATGTTATACCTCAACTACGAGGCTCTAGCGAGTGGCCGAATGAGCGCGAAAAATCTATTATAATTCGATGAACCTTAGTCCTACAGTTTGGATATTAGGATTGGATTTGATAATGTTGCACCAGTGCGGGAATATCAGCCTTGCGCTCATCAACCCTCATATTAATGCGATCTCTATTTATTTTTTCAATAAAATTGATGTGACAAACGGCCTTTCTGTCCACCTGGTAGTAAGTGGATACTGCACAATTGCAAAACTTATTTAAAAAAAAGTCCCGCTGGGTTTCTTGCTGGTTCTTCCCAGGACAGAGGGTTTTTTTCCGAACCAGTGGTAAAGTAAAAAATGACTTTCAATAAGAATTACACATGTAATGTATATTGAATAAAAAATATTCTATTCTATTCTATTCTATTCTGCAGTCCATTGACATTGATGTCTCGTGGTAAGTGGATGATGTAGCATCTACTTACCACGAGATGGACTGTGTTCTTGTTTGTCATCCTTATTCTATAGAAAAATTATATTTTTATGGGCATATCATTTATGTTCGGAGTGAGTGCATTTATGGTATATTCCACAGCTACTAATCTTCTTGGCTAAATAGAACAAAAAAAATATTATATAGGGATAACTTGCTACAAGCTTTGCTTCATAATTTATTTAGTACCTATGCCAGTGATGAGTTCAAAAATATTTTTTTGTTAATATTTTAATAACATTTATCGTTGAATGATAGGTATATCGTCGTTCATTAAAGAGTTCAACAACATTAAGATTAAAAACAAAGAAAAATACTCTTTTCATGTGATTTGTTTGAAAACATTTTTAATAAGTTGTTTTGATCATTTTTATTCATTTGTTATGATTCTGTGCATTTTAACATTAAGTTGTTTATAATTTGAGGCCTCGAGATGTAATTCAGTAATTATTTAATGACACAAAAATATATTGTGATTTCCGTCTATTTATGTCTATTAAAAATTTATAATAACCCTACGTAAAAAAAAATTTATAACCCTGCGTACGAAGTGTACAGTTGAGGCGATATTCTGTAATTTAAATTTAATAATTTTAATAACAAAATACTATTAGACATACAATATAAAAACTAAAATAATAAAAAAAAATTAAACTAGAAAACGGAACAAATCATTCTGATTCAGAACAAATTAAGTAACAATTTTCCGCAAATTCCACACAAATACATTTTCCCTTATTAACCAATTTAAAAAAGGAGGAGGTTCTCAATTCGAATGTATGTTTTTGTATGTATGATATCTTCGCAGATTGTGAACTAATTTTGATGATTCTTTTTTATTAAATAGTACCTCAAGGGTGGTCCCACATAAATTTGGAGAAAAAATTCCACCCCAAAAGAGTAGCAAATAAATAACTTCTTTTTATCAATTTGAACTCGGTTTTTACATTTTGTTAAAAGTTATTATTATTTTGTATACTTACTGCTTTTTAAAACGAAATAGGGATTTTAGATAGGGCAATTATGCTTTAAAATCTTTTTCAAATTAGTGCACGTTGTATGATTAAAATATTTGGATTTATCAGTGGGTCAATAAACTAAATTCAGGTTACAGATAGCAGCATACCTAGAGTAAAAATATCTAACACTGCGTTCACTAACCCGTCTGCCAATCGTGTTTTATGTTGCGTATTTGAAATTTATTTTTTATGTGCCTACGTTATTGATCACTAATAAAAATTATAAACTAGATGGATTGTCCAGTGCACAAGTTCTTTAAAAACTATCGCCAATTGTTTTGACGTAATTCTAGTTGAAATAAATGTACATTAATGTAAATTCAATCTTAAATGTATTGCTTAAAGTTGTATTCACAAAACTACGTACAAATTAAAAGCGCACCCAAATGTTCAAGAGGGCGCTCATTCGGTAAGGACATTTTTTCACTGATTGTGTATCTAGTTTTTTTATTAGTGATCGGTGGCCTACGTCCAACAGTGGACTTTTTTGAAATATGGAATGAACCGGACAGGATTGATGGTATAGACGATTGCGGATTTCCGTATCCACATATCATAGATATAGCTTTTTAAATTATAGCATTCAATTGAAAGATCAAGGCGTTATTAGAGAGCAAAAATTACTTGCTTTAAAAACGACATTTGAATTGAAATCCTCCTCTTTTATTTTCATATTTGTAAATAATCAACAAAAAAATATAATAATCATGATCATAAATGTTAAAGTAGCATAAATATGTAAAGTTCGGTACGATTTAAGTAACTGATATGGAGCTCGGCGCCCGTTCAGTGTTCAACTCTAATCAGCTAAGCTAATCCCGAACATCGTTTGGACTGAACTAGGTCCCTTTTTTAACAGAAATATTAGCAGAGGTAAAAAGCAAAGTTTTACCTCTATTTCTGTTGCATCAAATTAAAAAAAACCGACCAAGTGCGAGTTGGACTCGAGCATGAAGGGTACCACCGTACAAGATTTACCACTATGTATGTAAAAACGCAGGTATCTGGTAGAAGAGTCCCCTTTAATTTTTAATTTATTTTAATTTTTTTTTGTTGACTAGCTGTTCCCGCGACTTCGCCCGCGTGTAATTTAGGTTTTTAAATTTGTTGCGCGGAACGCTAGTTACTTTTCTATCATATAAGTAGCTTAAGTTACTCCTTATAACATAAGCTATCTAATAGTGAAAGTCCCGTCAAAATCGGTCCAGCCGTTTCGGAGATTACCCGGAACAAACAGACAGACAAACAGAGAGACGGACAGACAACAATTTTAAAAATTGTGTTTCTATTATAAGTACCGTATATACTATCATGCGCAATTAGTAAAAAGCTGTTATTTTGACATTACAAACAGACACTTCAATTCTATTTATTTGTATAGACTAAGTTTACTATTTCTGTTTTCAGTTGAGGTTACTCATCAGGTGTCAACTACGGAGCCGAAAGTGTTCGTTACCATACCACAGTGTTATGATACAGTTTTAAAAGGACTTAAAAACGCTAAAAGTAATGCAAAAATAATTGTCGTTGACAATCCACAAGCTTCCGTTCCTGAGGGCGCAATAAGATATTCGGAAATAGTGGAGTTGGGTGAAGCTGATTACTCATTTTTAGATAAAATTGAAAAGAAAAAAGATGACATTGCGTTCATACCTTTCTCAAGTGGAACTACTGGTTTACCGAAGGGAGTGGAGATAACTTATGGGAATCTTTTAGCTGCTTGTGAAATTATGCAAGATAAAAGGACATCGTTCCCGATTCTAACTAAAGGTACTTTGAGTTTGTTGAAGAATTTACATAAGCATAAACTTCCACACTTTTCACACAGAGCGGTGGGCGGAAACTACCGAAATCTATTTGGTACGATCCTGATTTGCCCCAGTTGCTTCTTTCACATCATGTATATTCAATATATCGCCAATTTGATCGATTAACACCCAAGGAAACGTCAGTAGCCTAATGGCAGGGCGCGGACCGCGAATTTGAAAGGTCGTGGGTTCGAATCCGCCATTCGACTACTGTCGTGAACCACTTCTAACACAAGCATTTTAAGCTTACAAGAAGTGGTTAAAGGGAATATTAGTAATGTTTAATAACATTACTAGTATTTTAAAAAAATAATTAAAAGTGAGTGGTAGAGTTGACAAGCACTAATAACTTATGTCTAGTACGCCTTGACGACTCTGGCACTCGCTTCTGCAGCATATTTCTTTACTAAGCACAATAATTCTTTCTACGTGTCCAAATCATCGAAGTATTATTTTCTTAATTCTAGTCACACCACCGCAATAGCAAGATACACTTTCGCTTTTGCAACAAAATCCCAGAAAATGTACAAAATTTGTTACAGAGTTTAAATGTTTAATTAAAGAAAAATAGTACAAACACGGTTTTTATAATATCAAAGAATACATAAGTGAAAATAACCCCTGGAACTGAGGTGATCGCCACCATGCAGGTTCTATTAAAATTCATTTAAAAATTGTAAATACAAAATTATTGTAAAGTGAAATATGTTTAAAAAAAGTCCCCCTGGGTTTATTGCTGGTTCTTCCCAGGACAGAGGTATTTTCCGAACCAGTGGTAAATAAAAAAATGACTTTCAATAATTATTATGTAAAGAATATATTGAATAATAATATTCTATTCTATTCTATTCTATTCTCATATCACACAATTTCACCTATAATCTAGAGTCACACTAAACAAGCTTTAAGTATAGGATTTTCTCAATTTTATTTGTATATCTAAGTAATAATGATATTTTTGGTTTGATGCTATAAAGTACATACGAAATATTATGATGATTTTTTGGTGTTAACTTTTATTATAAATATCGCTACTGCGCTGTATGGTATAGTACTGTCTATTTATCATATTTATGATGTTTATTTACATCTACCGAAAATTAAATTAAATCTCATTTGTAGGTAATTTATTTATTGTAAATACTTCGTAAACGTTATGTTGTCGCAACTATAATATCGTTAATTATTCATTATATGTAAATCATGATGATAATTTTTATTGTGAAGTTCTAACTATCCTAATATATTCCTGCATATAGAATAAAATCCAAAACAGGTTTAGGTATGGAGTAACGAAATTCGATGTCACCATTTTAAACCAGTAACATTTAATTGAAATTAAAACCAATTTTACTGCAATTCCAGGTGACTTCCAAGACATCGTGCCATGCATATTGCCATTCTTCCATATTTACGGATTAGTGGTTACGTTAATAGGACATTTGGCTAAAGGCTGCAAATTAATATCATTACCGAAATTCTCTGCAAGTTTATACCTCGACGTCTTAAAGAACGAGAAACCAACTCTGCTGTACGTTGTTCCGCCTATTGGTATGTATCCTATAAAACATTACATTTTTTTATAAGATAAGGGTGACAAATGAGCACACAGTCCATGCTGCCCATAGACATCTACATCTATCCTCTATTACAAATCAAAATGCAGATGCTTTGTCACCCGTGAGGACTAAGATGGAATGCCTCTTTTCCAGTAAAAAGGGTCTCCGGTTCTCTACACTCACCATACGAAACACAGCAGCGTTAAGCTGCTATTTGACGCTGGTATTCTGTGAGAGCGTGGTCCTTCCCCGGTCGAGCCGACTCATTCGTGCTACAACTATACTACTAATATAGCTGCAGCATGGCTCTACCACGTAAAAATAATAGGGAAACATAGTAAGGAATATAGTATGGAAATAATAATAATAATAATATATTTATGTATTTTTTATGTATTTATTATATTTTATTGATATTTATGTGTGTTTATATATTTCGTTTACAATTATATATTTAAACATCCCAACCAGATGAGAAAACTTTATAGATAACCCTCATAATAATAATAATAAACAATAGTAGGGAAACACCTAAATTGTTGCTAGAAGGGCATTTAAGCATGTTACAAGTATAACCCTGAACGTTTCATGGTCACTTGGAAGGGAAGGCTAAATTGGCCTCTAAAAAGCTTGGCATGCTCAGCAGAGTGGAAGAGTATTTCTGCCGGCACAAAGCTTGCAACTTTACAAGGCTCAATTTCGGTCTCACATAGAATACTGTTCTCATCTCTTAGCACGGCACCTCACTGCCAGCTCCTTCCATTTTGCCGCATCCAGCGCAGAGAGGTTCGACTCGTCAATCACCGAGTTCATTTTGATCGGCTCGACTCACAAGCGCTGCGAAGGGATGTTGTATCCCTTTGCATTTTCTATCACATTTAACACGGGCAGTGCTCTGAGGAATTGTTCGGATTAATTCCAGCCGCCAAATTAATGTTACCAAGACATCACGACAAAATTCACGTTACCAGCCACATCATCTGGATCCTTGGCAGTTCTCTACCGTGCAATTTAATAGGCCAAATTTCACGAACGAATATTGCGATACCATCCACACCATCTGGATGCTTAGCGGTCCCCAACTGTGCGTTTTACTAGGAGTTCTCTTCCTCGTACAACCTCTTCGTGAAATCGTTTACCACCGGTGATTTTTCCGGATACGACTTAGGAGCCTTCAAGAAACGAGCTTACTCCTTTTTAAAAGGCTGGCTACGCATCTGCAATTACACTGGTCTTGCAGTTGTTCATACGCAGCGGTAGCCACTTACCATCAAGTGAGCCGCATACTCGTTTGCCCCCTAAACTATAAAAAATCATCTAGTGCGATATTTACAATCAACTAAGCATTTCTTCTAATATATAGTTCTTATGATAAAATACTAATTATTAATTAAAATACTAATTATTAATTAAAATAATAATTATTAATTAAAGTACTAATTATTAATTAAAATACTAATTATTAATTGATTTTCTAGCAATTCTTCTGGGAAAGCATCCCGACGTAAAGAGCGAGCATTTCCAAAGCGTAAGGAATATTATATGCGGTGCAGCACCATTGGCAGCATCAGATGTTTATGCCATTATGGAAAAAAGTAAAGTGAGTGAACTATATCTGTACTTCATACTTACAGAAGCCGACAGTTACACATGCTAAAGTAGAGAAAAATAGAATATATTAGAATGTAATAGAATAGAATAGAGACATAAAAAGAAAAGAATAGAAAAGATTGACTGGCCGCAAATGCCGTCAGGCATTAACTCCACCCATAGTTACCGTAGTTCTAAGGTGTTTTTTTTTAAAGAATTTGGGTGAAAAACGAGCACACAGTCCACCTGATAGTATGTGGTCACTGTGGCTTATAGACATCTACATCTATCTTCAATTAAAATGCAGTTGCGTTGTCACTCGTGAGGACTAAGATGGAATGCCTCGTTTCCAGTAAAAAGGGTCTCCGGTTCTCTACACTCACCATACGAACCACAGCAGCGTAAGCTGCTATTTTACGCTGGTATTCTGTGTAAGCGTGGTCCTTCGCCGGTCGAGCCTAGTAGAATTGGTGGATCGACAAGGAGAAAAATTTATGAAAGGATCTACGTATGAAGCATTCAGCAAGCGGAAGATTGACCTATTCGTGCTGCAGCTATACTATTACGGCGTGTCTCTACCATGTTATGGTTCTATACCTTCTTACTTATATTTGAGAGTTTTAAAGTCTTGGACAAAATAGTGTTGCATAAATGTTTAATAATGTTTCATTTAATTCTCAACATTTTAGAACAAACTGCAGTTTAACCAAGGGTTCGGTACCACAGAGACGACTTCGCTGACGACTTCCACTCTTCAAGACACTGAGGTTCTGGATTATTCAGCTTGTGGTGTACCCATGGCCAGTGTTATGTTGAAATTTGTCGACCCGATGACTGGGAATCCTGTCCCTATCGGGGAAGTAAGTAATCCCATATATAATATTAATCTCGTTTCTCTTTTTATTTTAAGAGTGATTTTTGTTATATTGATATTTACATATCAATACATCAATAAATTTATAAAAATTTAATGTACGTACACAAAAATAAAAGTAGTTTTACAAAAATAAGTGATATTCATTCTGTAAATACTAGGAACAGACACAAGCTAGTAATACCAGTTACTCGACTTCATCGAGTCAGTAATTCATTCTTGGGGCGATGTATACGCTTTTATAACACAACTAGCTTTTTACCCGCGGCTTCGCTCGCGTGCGCTTGAATTTAGGGACATCATTAAATGCTGTTCCGTGTCAAATTTAGAAATATTCGATCACTTTTAGAGTCACCTTGGTTTATGTCTCTATGTCTGTCAGAGATTTTTTTCATTCTAAAATACTATTAGACGTAGATGATTGGTAACATGCTACAGAAACTCGTGAATATACTTATAATATGTCTAGAAACTCCTACTATTTTTTATATATGGCGTGTCTTCCGATTCCGATGTATCCATAAGAAAGGTAAATAGTCTTGAAATCAAAAAGTATTATTATTACTTACATTTTACTCTTTACATATATATATTCATAGTTAAAGTAAATTTAGTTTTAACAAAGTAATATAATGTTTATTTGAGACATTTTATTCATATCATTGGTCCTATTTAATATTGATTGGCACCATAAAAAGATATAGATATTTTTATTTACTTCGAGTAAAATTGAAATTTTTTTAAATACAGTTCTATAATAATGAATACCACACATGGATTAAAACTAATGTTACGGGTTTTTTACACATCTTGACTCCTCACCGAATAAAAGCACCGAAGCTCCGGGAAGTCTAAAGTATGTAAACATGTTTAGTATCGTCCCAACCATTATATACAACAAATTCTTGCAATAAAACACCGAATCCTACCAATGATGATACGCGAGGCTATTGAAACTAAAAATATCCTAATTTTAATAGGGAAGATGGCTGAGTGCTACTATCTGCTAAGGACTCCATGATTAATAAAATTAAATTCAAACTACTACTGCATTTTAACTATTCTATTTTAACTATGACATCAGGTTATCAAACACCTCAGTTCTCCCACCCCTCCCGTGACCATGGGTGCTATAAATTGCCCAAACCATCGGGAATTTAAAAAGTTAAAATTAAACGCGATAAAATCCTTAAAATTACTTTTATTCCTTATAAATTTTATACACAGTGAACGTGAGGAACACTACACTCATGAACGGGAGTAGAGAAATGTTCGCACTGTTGTGGCGGTGAAAGAAAATCCAACACATCATATCATCCCGTCGTAAGAGGCGACATAGGAAAAAAAACAGTAGATGGGATGATCTGCATCATCTTCTTGACAACATATCAAAATAATAATAGCTGCGGTTGCCAACCCGCCACTATAGCAAATATCCAGCTACTTGACAATTTATGGGGGAGGCCTATGTTCATTTCAGTGGACTTTTGATAGGCTGACGATAATGAGTTCTACTCATCTTTGCAAGCCTTAATATTTACGGTAGAGTGAAAGCATAAATTATCATACCCGAAAACACGAATGAAATAGAAACTGCATATATATATTACCCTATGAAAAGTAAAAAAGCAGCTTACATACATGCTACTACTGGGCAAAGGCTGTAGAGTTTTTGGCCAAAAAAGAGTTCGCTGCACTGATTCCAATGCGGGATGAACGTAATGTACTTAAATGATTCAATTATTTACATCGTATATTCAGTAGCATTGTATTATTTCATTTTATCAATGTCTTGCCACTTTAATTTATTTAGAAGTAAGTAGGTGGCGCTAATATTACATGAAATAATTAAAGCCAAAACTATACCATCTAGTAATATCAGAAATAGAAAGGAACATTTATTTACTATATCAATAAGGGATAAAGTGATGTCAATTCTCTTAAAAGTTCTGTTTCTATTAAAAATACTCGTAAGCTATCAGCGCCACTAGCGGTGAAAAACGATAATGATATCGTCATATGACCATATTATGAAATAGCAACGTTGTGTTTAGTTACTAATAACTTCAAAAGATTTATATTCATTGATTTGGTCAAGCTATATAATAACACGGTCATCAAATAGTGTTAAATACACATTCATTTCAGTCATGTTTTCAGTGTTTTCACGAAATGATAGACTACTTTATGATATATGATCAATTCTACGATCTGGCCACGACTTACATAAAAATCTCTTTAATAAAACTATGATGATAATGAAAATTGTGTAACAATTGCAGACAGACCATTTTTTATCACTTTATATATATATTAGTAATTGAAATAAATACCTTATCAATTTTCATATTTTTGATAGACATCATTATTATCTATTGAAATTATTACACTTTTAAAATAAAATAACAAAAATACTAAAAAAACTGAACGTTACAATTTTTTAATAATTTTAAAAATCTAATAATTTAATCATATAAATGTAAGTTATTTATATTATTTCATTTATTAGTAACTGAAGGCAAAATATACAACTTTTTCCATTTGATGATAGATGGCGCTGTTTTGAATACGAAATCGGTGTAGTTTCAAATTATTTTACCAAGATTATAACTATATTTTAAACTTTATTTACAAATATGGTAATATGGTATTTAATTGAAAAACACCCGTCATTCCGCCTATAACTAAGATACAACAGAAAATTAACATCTAAAGGAAATTAATATACTTAACCTTCCTTTTTTGAAGTTCCGTAATCGGATAAAAAGTAGCCTATAAGTTGCCCCGGGTTACTGACTACCTACATACAAAATTTCATGTAAATCGGTTCAGTAGTTTTTGCGTGAATCCGGAATACACAGACAGACAGACAGACAGACAGACAGACAGACAGACAAAAATTCTAAAAACCACTAATTTGGCTTCAGAACCCTTTATTTAGTACCCTGGACTTGTTTTTTCAAGAATATATTAGAATTACAGACACGACTTTTCTACAGATTTATTATATGTATAGATTCCAGAAAATATACAGAATTTGACCTGCTCAAAGTTCAAAAACTTTATTAAACTAAGTTTGTATAAAATGGGTTATTATAATATTAAGGAATTTATGGATGATAATAACCCTTGGGAATGAGGTGATCGCTACCGAGCTATTTCTCACTTGTTATGTTGTTAATTGCGTAACATACATGAAGGAATGTAAGTGTATTTAAAAAAAAAGTCCCGCTAGGGTTTTTGCTGGTTCTTCCCAGGACAGAGGTTTTTTTCGAACCAAGTGGTAATTAAACAAAAGAGTGACTTTCAATAAGTATTATTTATAATCTATATTGAATAAAAAAGTTTCTGTTTCTGTTTCATAAACATTTTATAAAAACAGATCAATTTTGTTTGTAATGCATTTGATCTAGTGCTGGTATCTTCTTTCAATATCATCTGATCTAGTTAAAATTTAAATTGGATAGAAGTCGATATATTAAAAATAAGCTTTATTAGTCATAGAGCAACACTCCGGCGGATCGGAGGGGATATGGCTAATCCCAGACGTTCCCCTCTGTCGAAGTATAAGTCCACGTCCTATGCGTGTAATAAAACTAGTTGCGGCCGCACTGCTCACTAGATTGAATTAAGTTGCGCGGCTGAACCCACGTCATATAAAAATGCCGAATTCTTCAGATTTTACTACAAAAACAGATCTGCAACGTCAAATTTACGAAAAGATGACGTTACCTTGATGATGGTCCGCCGGTGGCCCATGTTGCTCTATGATATTAGTTAAGTAACCTCAGAAATATTGTGTTACATATTTTATAAAAAAATTGTGGCGGCGCTGTGATCACGCCACAAGCGAAACACATCGAAGCCTAAATCGCGCTAACAAAGTTCCGAATTTAAAGCAGTATATATAGAATAGCTCCGAACTACCACTCGGAGCGTTGGCCACTCCCTGGGCAGAACACCTTGCCGCCAGGGTATTTCCCCTTTTCCTTCCACCGGCTACAAGATCATAGAATTTGTTTAATAACGTCTCTCATTTTGGGGTCGACAGAAACCTATTACTATTTTGAAAATCGGGATTGAAATCGTAATTAATATTTAACGTGTTGTGATTCCAGCCTGGGGAATTATATGTTAAAAGTCCGACTGTAATGAAAGGCTATCACAAGAACGAGAAGGCAACTAAAGAAAGTCTAACGGAAGATGGTTACTTCAAAACAGGAGATTTGGGTTACTATAAACCAGAAGCCGGCCTCTACATAACCGACAGAATTAAAGAACTGATTAAGGTGAAGTAAATTCTAATATCATTGTTGGTCTTAAGTATTAATTACTTTTTACCAAAAAGCTTTTCGTAATAGGTCGACAGTTGCAATAAACAACAATAATAAAAATACATTAGAAATGAAATGGGGGCTTCTCTACAAGAAACGTGTTATACGATAGTCCTGAACCCTTCACGCGAGTTCGACTCGCACTTGGCCGGTTATTTTTTTAAATTCTACATAGAATTTCGCTATTTGTTTATAATAATATATTCATTATACATGCATACAACATTATAATTGAATCCACCACCACCAGCGATTTTGCCGGACCGAACTACTTAATGACCTTTAAGAAAAGAGGCTACTCCTTTTTGAAAGGCTGGCAACGCATGCAATTCCTCTGCTGTTGCAGTTGTTCATGGCCTACTGTAGTCACTTACCATCAGGTGAGCGGCATGATCGTTTGCCCCCTCTCCTATAAAAAATATTCCTGTCTTGAGCATATGGCTAGTCTCCGTCAAAATTAGCTCCCGTGACCGTAATTCTCTAAAATATGTGTAAAATAAATATAAAATACCTAAGCCAGCTATGGGGAGCAACGTTAAATAATCCCATTCGTTAATCCGCCCGCCAAGCATGAGAATAAATGCAAAGTCTCTCTACAACGGAAGCGGTGTACATCCAGTGTAGGTGTCAGGAAAATATAGAATGTAATTGGAAGCAATAGGTGAATAAATCTGCTTATGGTATAACACACACAGCATTAGACTTGTACCAATTCATGATGATGAAGAAGAATTTAAAAAATTATCCATATCACTTCTTATATGTGAACTGTATATTATTACTGAATAAAATTGAAGTGTCTGTTTGTAATGTTAAAGTAACAGCTTTTTACTAAATGCATATGAAATTATAAACGGTACTAATAATAAAAAACAATTTTCAACATTTTGTCTGTCTATCTGTTTGTTCCGGCTAATCTCTAAAACGGCTGGACCGATTTTGACGGGACATTCACTGACATATAGCTGGTGTTATAAGGAGTAACTTAGGATAGAGGAAAGTAACTAAATGTGGGCTAGTGCTTTAATATGGGCTAGTAATAATTCTAGAAAACAAATAATTGAAAGGCGTTGTAAACGAGTATCTTCTATCGCATTCATTCGCCCTAACACCGCAATCACTCTATCTCGTCAGTGCGGCGCAAGGTGCTGCTAGTGTAAGAAGTTTTGCTTCACCGTTGTCAAAAAAATTTGTAAGGTACGTATAAATATGTTATTTTATTAATGATAATGAAGACTAAATAGTGTCAATATATGTTTTATTTGTAGAATATAAGTTTAATTATATGTTTTTCGGTTGATTATATGTTTGTTATTTATGACTTGTGAAGAACAATGTCAAATTTATTTCGATCAAGAATTTCCAATATGACTATGGTGGTACTAGCACTTAGGTGGTTGGACATTATTTTCCAAAGAGCTTTATTATTTCTTTCAGAATGCCACCGACACAATTAAAACAACCAAGAAAAAATTAGGATGAAGAACAAATGGCTAAAGCCATAAAAGTGTTTCGCGGGGAGTAAATAGGTACCCTAAAAGCAGCAAAAACTTTCGGAGTACCAAGAATGACTTTACAATGCTTAAGCCTGAAAACTGAACTTACTTCTGAAGAAGCGGCTGCTACGACATTAGGGATAAATACAGTGTTGGGTACACAGTTGGAAAATATTTTAGTAGAATATGTTTAACGATGGAAAGAAAATTTTATGGACTGACAAGCACAGATCTTCACAGAATGGCACCAGACGCCATAATCGGGATAGAAGCTCCTGACTCTGCAGATGCAGCATGTATGTTCTGCCAGCAACTTTTTTCAGAAAATAGAGGAGGAGAACTTTGGATTAAATGCTTGATGTATGGTCGGTCTCTGGGCACATAATGACTATTCTGGGCCAGAATTTCATACTTGGCTATGTGATTTTTACAAGTAAAATAATCAATATTTTTTTTTCTTACCAAAGTTAAGTAGAAATACATTTATACTTGTTATTTTGTTAGAAGATAATTAAGTTTATATTTATAGTCCATATTTGAGTACCTGTCCATATTTAGTGCCTATTTTGCTATTTTGTTTAATGCTCAATTTTGATAGTATAGTTTATTAATAAAAACGTAAGACTGTTACTGTGCTCTGATATGTCTGATTGTTATTACATTAATAAAAAGTCGATTTTATCTAGTTTTTTATTTTTGATCCAAAAACAAAATGGTAGCCTATATTTAGTTACTCTCCTCTACTTTTATTTTAGAAATAAATAAACCGGGTTCCGTGCAAAAAAATTAAAACCTTTGAAATCGTAGTAAATTCCACGCGGACGAATTGGCGTGGGACAGTTAGTAATAAATATACGAGTAAGTTTAATTTAAATTATTCAGGTCAAAGGCATGCAAGTGGCACCGGCAGAATTGGAGAGCATACTACGTTCCCATCCAGCAGTACAAGATGCAGCCGTTATAGGAGTGCCACATGAATTCTACGGAGAAGCACCAAAAGCGTTTATCAAATGCAAGAACGGACAAAAAGCTTCTTCTGAAGATATCCAAAACTTCGTTGCAGAACGAGTGGCAGCGTTTAAAAAAATAGAAGAAGTTGTGTTTGTAGATGAAATTCCAAAAACGTCTTCTGGCAAAATATTAAGGAAGGAACTGAAGAAAATGTATGCGTAGCATTTTCGTGAGAATGTGAGACTGTAATGAATGTGAGACGAGTGAAGCGGTCGGTGGGTGGAATATGGTAATTTAGTCTATTTTTGTTATCACTTATTGTTACGAAAAGTTTTCTATTATTAAAATATGAAAATTAAGGTCAAACTTATTATGTTAGTTTTTACAAAATGTGTTTTAGTGCATAATTATCTTATATAAACATTAAGAAGGCAGCAGAACGGTTTTTACATAATATTATAAGTAATAAGATAATTAAAAATATGGTTTATTAATTTTCGGGTTAAAAGTTAGTAGTTAGTTAGAATAGTCCTCCCCGCGAAAGAAACTACTACGTGGTAGAGCCATGCTGCAGCTATATTATGGTTGTAGCACGAATGGGTCGGCTCGAACGGGGAAGGACCACGCTCTCACAGAAAACCAGCGTAAAATAGCAGCTTAATGCTGCTGTGTTTCGTATGGTGAGTGTAGAGAACCGAAGATCCTCTTTACTGGCAAAGAGGCATTCCATCTTAGTCCTCACGGGTGACAACGCATCTGCATCTTGAGTCTTTATTGAGGATAGATGTAGATGTCTATGGGTGACAGTAACCACTTACCATCAGGTGGACTGTGTGCTCGTTTGTCATCCGATCCTATAAAAAAAGAAACCCCTTGGCCATGGCGCCACATTCAAACGGAATTGATGTTTGCGGGCAATTTCCATACTTTACATTCTTTCTTGATTCAGACCCTACTTTAAACCTGATACTAATTTTAAGCTATTTTTTGTAATAAGATGGTTTCTGTAATACATATTAATTTACCTTTAGATTTTCGGTGGTTTAACTAGTCTTTTTAATTTCGTAATTGGAATGGCAATGTTTTTAAGTTAATAATACATAAAATATAATTCCAGTTAGTCGGTGGTGCTTAGTAAAAAATATATTAAATTTGTGATATAATTTTTAATAACTATAATTTTTGCATAAATTTTATGACGTTAATATAAAAATGTTTATAATAATGTTATGCGATTTGTATATTTGTAAATTAAAGTTATATTTAAAAAGAACAGTGTATCTTCTTACGTACCTAAAACATAAATGCAAATATGTACTTAATATAAAATTCTTTAAGACGAGGATTTCCTATGTTAAAAAACTTTTAGGGCTTCATTCTCCGCTGCATGCATATTTGTCCAGCACGAAGTGAGCGTCTGACATTTGATGGACAAAAATTTACTTTATTTGAAACGTTTTTCCTCTGCCAATCTTTATCTCTCTACTCCTTTGCATTCTTCCTTCTTTTTTAAGAAATCCTTTACTGTAACTGTAAAAGTAAAGTAAAGTTGCAGCCTATTTACGTCCGATTGCTGGGCACAGGCCTCCTCTCATTTCTGAGAGGGTTTTAGGGCAAGAAAATGTCCGCCGCGCTGCCCCAATGTGTTGGCGAACTTCACATGTCTCCGAAAATATTTTTTTTCTTATTTCTCAGACATGCAGGTTTCCTCACGATGTTTTCCTTCACCGCCGAGCACGTGGTAAACTGTAACTGTACGTTTGTGGAACTCTTTACCTCTCCACATTCGTAGTGCTTAATCTCTTAATTCTTTCAAAATCGTATTATTTAGAACGCTATTAGATAAATTACTTTTCCTTTTTTTAGTACTTTTCTTAATTTAATCTATTATATTATATTATATCATTTTCACTTATCTTTATTTATATATATTTTCTTATATTATTTTTGTACGCCCCCTCTATTTTAATTCGCATCAGTTATCTACGCAAAGATTGTCTGGAAGAGATCAGTTTCAGAGTAATAAGACCGCCTGTTGTACATGTTATAATTTCGTTTTATTTCGCTTCTATTATCTATCTATTCTCAACGTTGCTCTGCAAGTTATGGAGAGGGCTTTTCTCGGAGTTTCTCTGCGTAATAAACTTAGAAATGAGGATATCCGCAGTAGAACCAGAGTGACCGACATAGCCCAACGGATTAGTAAGCAGGAGCGGAAATGGGCCGGCCATATAGCTCGAAGAACTGACAACCGATGGGGAAGAAAGGTTCTCGAGTAGCAGCCTCGTAACGGCAGGAGAAGTGTAGGGCACCCCCTTCCCCCTACTGGATGGAGTAACGACCTGGTAAGACATGCAAGTAGTCGATGGATGCAGGTGGCTCAGGCTCCGTGGAGGCCTTTGTTCAGCAGTGGACTTGTGAAGAGCTGTAATGATAATAAATGAATGATGATAATGATGATCTATCTATTACAGCCACTGACCTCTATATATGGAATGGCTATAACCCTGACATAATGAGGCGAATTGATTTTCACCATTTTGGCGCTGACAGCACAAGTGAGCGTCCACGGAACTAATAATAGAGATAACACAGTGTGAAAAAATATATCGATAAGAATTCCATACCCAGGCCTACCCGTAACATCCATTCTATTTATGTATCATATTAATATAATGCCATACAATAAATAAATGTATCAATTAATACCTAGGCCTTAGACGCAAGCTTTATATTTCATATAAAACAAGAATCGACGCTGCGTTGATCTATCAACGTTTTTATTTATAACTACAGAACAAATTATGTTCCGGGTTACAAATGAGAAAATGCCTACGCATACCTGCATTTTGAGGGTGAGAATGGATTATGTCGGACTTGCACCTACTAAAACCCCATGATGTTCCATCTTTACCACACATTGACAGGGCCACGGAAACGCTTTCAAGCACATCCGCGGCCCTACCAGCAAGAACCCCTCCTTAGTTGAGCACTTCCCTCCCCGACTTCCCGAGACCGATATGTGGAGGCCATGGAGCCAAAAAGAAAACGAGCACTCGGAAGCACCAAGTGGTACAGCCCAGCCAAAGTTGCGGAGGGTGGCGCATTACCATACCAACAATCCTCTTCCCTTGCGACACCACCTTGGCTGCAGCGATATAGAGAGAGGACTCTCCTCTAGCCGCAGCTCACTAACCCATATTCAAGGACTCGACAAGCCCACTCAGAGTAGCCACCTTGGGCCAGCCATGTCTCCCTATGTTTACCATGGGTTACCAAGCCACGGCTAATAACTCCATCCACGACAATGCGGGAATCCGTTCAGGGAGGAGTTATTCACGCCTAAACTAACGCAAACTCACTAAGGACATTAACAAAGTTGCAGTTACAATATAAATTTATTCCCTTGATACAATAAATTGGTCATAATAATTATACAGATTTAACAAACTTACGTCTTGTAAAAACAAAGTCAACATCAGATGACCTTTCTACACTTGGCTATGGCTATGGCCCTTGAGTGTGGGGGAAAATAAGAAGAGAAGAAATAAAAAAACATTCGAAATAATAATCTAATACTTTTATACTTGCTGGTACTGGTACTACCAGAAAATATTGTGTGTGTACTGCATTTTTTCAAAGTGGCGCGTTTCTGATGTCCGATAAAACAAAAAAAAATCGTCTATGAAGTGTTTAAACAAAGATGATCATATTGTTTCGGTCGCCAATTCACAATGTTTGTGCTTTTTAGCCATAATTTTAGTCTAGGTTCAAGTTTTAGGTAGGTTGGTTGTGAACAGATATGAGTAGAAAAGAATATCGGTAAATAATATAGAGAAGGAACTCAAAAAGTGGCCGGAGGCCCTTTTTACTGGAAATGAGGCATTCCATCTTAGTCCTCACGGGTGACAACGCATCTACATTTTGATTTGTAATAGAGGATAGATGTAGATGTCTATGGGCCGCAGCAACCACTTACCATCAGGTGGACTGTGTGCTCGTTTGTCACCCTTATCCTATAAAAAAACAACCCTATTGAATTTTATTGTTTATCAAAACTCATTAATATAAAGACAAACATGTTGGTAATTACGATATTAAGATTAGTAATAAACGTTTAAGTAACTATATAGTAAATAGTTTTAATTTTCTCAATATTAGCTGCAAATTCACTTACTTGTGGAATGTTATCCCACTTTCCTTTTGGTAACGAGTTTTAAATATTACGCACACTCTCATTATTACTAAAAATAATTCTTATTATATAACTAAAATCAAACATAATCAAACCACATAAAATACTTTTATTTTTTAGTTTAAAAATTCAAAATACAGAGATATGATTTAAATAATACAACAGACTTTGGCATTATTATGTCAATTTTAGTTACCGGTACGGACAATGATGGCGCTTCAATTCGGCATAAGCATTTTGTATGGCAGAGCCAGTTCAGCGTACTTGTATATATAGACGTCAGTGATGGAAGACCTCCCCCATAGATTAACTCATAGGGGGGATTTTGTATATTTGCCACGCTTGGCAAGTGGGTTGGCAACTGCAGGTTTTTTTTATTAAAACCCCTCTGCTCAGACCGGATGTCGATGGTGCAGTCTAGTTGTCGACGAATATGCAAGTGGCAGAGATTGCCTTGTAGTTTGCGTTGAGTCGAGAAGAACGCAAGTAATCTGTGAGAGTGTCGTGAAGCAGAGGCGAGCAGTTAAACTCAAAACCGTGCGAACACTGTAAAGAAAAGCGGTGATGAACATTGTAAAGCAAGATAGGATTGCAGAATCTGAAGACGGCAGATAACATCTCATCGGAGCGAATGGATACTGACAATGGTACTTGAGGACGATAACGAAAGCTTGAAATTGAGGTTTAAAAAATTTGCCTATGTTTCGTGTTGTGTGTGTTCACTTCACGTCAGGGTGACCAATTTGGCCTTGGAAGGAAAAGGTGAGATCTCTCACTGGACAAGGTATTTAGTCCGGGGATCAGCCAATGTGATAGTACAGAGCTGTTTTAGTTGGTATTGTTGATTGAAGCTGTTCTATATATAGCGCACAGTACTTCAAAACTATGATAGCGCGATTTAGGATTCGGTGCGTTTCGCTTGTGTAACGACGACAGCGTCGCCACAGATGCGAAGCTGTTTGACGACAGAAATAGGTAAAAAGGTAGTATTTACCCAGACGGAATTACAAGCGGAGAAGGACAAACT